AATATTCGTGATTTCCAGCTTCGGACCATTAACTTGGTACCTTACCAAACAGAGATCACGAATATTAGGACTGAGGACACAGAATTAGATATGTTCTACAAGGTCTCCCTGACGTTGCGACCAAGTTGCGAAAACAAGGTCGAACCAACACTGTACAGCTAAAGAAGATTGCGATCAAATAGAAGGCCACACTATCTTGTTCTTAATATCTACGATTGAGTTGCATATGTTCATCAGCTTGTAATTGTAGTATTGGACGGGTTTCATTTATGCCTATCATAAATCATGGGGAACCAAGCTTCTGATAGTTGTAAAACAACCTCTTATTAACGTTGTGTCAGTAACACATCAAAGTTGGTTTGCTTACACTTCGTTGTCTATGGATTTCAAATTATCCTAAAATTATGTTATTTTAGTGGGTTTTGTTCATTCTTTTTGGATAATTCAACAGAAGCTAAGTCGTGTGTCATAAAACGGTTATGTGCTTGCCTTTAAAATCTAAAATATATGTTTCAAGTTCCAACTGCAGTCGAGGATGAATTTGAATTGCCTTATGGGATGCATACCGTTTTATTTTTTCGTGGTTTGAATTCCTATCACTCATCTAACACCATTTGAAATTAATGCCTATCAAGAATCATCAGACTTTTGTTAGTCCTCAATTAGCCTATTAATATATCATACTACTATTCAATTTATCATTTTTGTAGTATTGAATATGGCTCATGCAATTGTATTGTTATTACTGCCGCTCCCATCAGAAGTATGGAGTTTTTATTTGGAACTTATTCATGTGTTCCCACATGTTTTTAAAAAATTGCATTTAAATTGTTAGCATTACTCCTTGCTTATCTGATAGGTCGCAAAACAGAAAAAGAGAAGTTTGCTGGAGGTGAATTCACTACTACGGTTGAGGCGTTTATTGCCGTTAATGGCCGTGCCATTCAAGGCGCCACTTCACACCATCTTGGTGACAATTTCGCCAGAATGTTCGATGTGACGTTCTTGGACAGGGATACTCAGCAACCGCGTTTGGTTCAACAAAACTCTTGGGGGATTACCACTCGGACTTTGGGCGTCATGGTAATGGTGCACGGGGATGATCGTGGCCTTGTTCTCCCACCATATATAGCACGC